CAAGCCGCCTGCCAGTAAAGGGCACATAGCTTTCTGGAGGAAGAGAGCACCTCCATTCATTCTTCCTGCTCTGTGCAGACCTATAAGCTGCCCCCTTTGGATCTGACCGCCGGCCGTTGTTGAGGTGTTTTCTTTCTTTTTTCTTTCTTTTTTTTTCTTTCTTCCTCTTTTAAGGAGTTATCGCTCTGTACCCTCATGAAGTTTGTTGAGTTGGAGGCAGAACATCCTTTGATCAAAGAGGAGTGGAAAGGGGGGTTCACTTTTCCTCGGGAACTTCTTAAGGTAAGTTGCAGAACTTAAGGTAAGTTCCTGCTGTTATTTAATCCATGACATGGGAAACCCTGTAAGGCTCACGTTTTGCCAGACTAAAATTTCAAACTAGGAGGTTTTCAGAGGGAAGGGAGATACGGTGTTATAGAGGGAGCACCTAGACCTAGAATTCCCTGGAGCAACTGCCTTGTACAGAGCCAAGCTGGACTCTTGCGTGTATGTGAGGTGAAAGCTGTGGCCTTTTTCAGACTCACTGGCCTTACTTGCTGTTGGGATAGGAGAGGGAAGGTACTGCCCCTGCTTCAGCCACTGTGTTATTTCTAAATAACATTATCTTAGATAGGAGAGAATCACCTTGGAGATGAGGAGGGCCTATTAAAGCGGCTTGTGAGCACATGCCCTGGAGCAGGCAGGACGCAGTGCTGCCAGCTACGTTTGAGAATGGCAGAGGGATGTGCTAAGCCGTCACAGCTTGCTGTCTGCTCCGGTGCTGTAAGAGGCTGACTTGCTGCTTTCCTTTACGAACCCTTTACTAGGTAGTTGTTGATGGATTAATTCCCTTAAATGAGGATGCTTCGCTCCTGATCTCTCGCTTCCAAGAATATATGGAGTATGACGATATTCGGTACTTTGTGATGAAGGCAGTCACTGAGAGTATTGGACAAGTCATGCAGAAGACGAAAGAGGTAACAAATTGTTAACATTGAGGCGGGTCTGGATAAACTTTCGCTCCAAGAGGTTTTATCTTGTGGGTGAAGTGCAGGACCAGTGGTATATGGAAAGAGTTCAGAAGCAAAATAAATGAGCATGCACATTTGAATACATTCATCTTTGCTTTGCTCACAACATGGGCCTAGTTTGGGTAAGGTTATTCTCAGTCTGAAATTGAGGTCGTTCAAGAAACATCTATTGTTGTTCTTGCAAAACCTCGTGGTTTGGGCTGTAGCTTTTGTTTTACTCAAATCTCAGTGATTTGGGTGGCACAGGCAGAGCTTTTAGTTGTGCTCTCTCTCTGGTGCACAAGAAGAGCTTGTTGTTTTTTTCTTTAATAAACTCTGCCAGTTTTGTTAAACCAGAGCTAGTTCAGACCTATGTTTTGTGTTAGGCAAATGAATAATATTCCAGGACAAGACAGAAATAGAGAAGAAAACAGTATTCAGTTTAGCCATCAGCATTTTTCCTTTTCTTTTTCTTTCTTAATTAAATCCATTCAGTGCTTGGGGAATAGGACAGTATTAAAGTCTAGCAGGTTTGCCATCTGTTGTGGAGCTTACCTCGTGTTTGAATGTATGTTTTTTTTCCTAGAGGCCGCTGCCATTATACCAGCAGAACATATTTTCCCTCATTTCACCTATTAACATGCCAAACAAAGAGCGCGACATGGTCAAGTTTATGGTGAAGCAAGGTTAGTGAGTTTCACATGAAGATTTGTTTTGTGCAAAGGCTTCATTAGCTTTTGCTAATGAAATATATTTGCTTCTGAGATCACGATGATTCTGAACAGTATTAAAAAATCCACGTTCCTCAGTTTGAGTTGTATCAAGACAAGGATTTCAGACCATATTTTTAGATACCTTGCTTTGAGGGTAGCTTCCCTTTCCTCTTACCCTCAATCCCATCTTAGCCAAGTATGTAATTGGGCCTGAAATAAAATTGTATTGTCTGAGTTTTATGTGGCTTTATGTGGCTCAGTTTTGTGTGTTCTATGTGTACTAACTAGTGTGAGGCTTTTCAAGGGACTGAGTAAAACAAGGGTCATCTTATTTTTTTTAAACATCTGTTTCAGATTTAGCATCTGTTTTGCCTTTCTTCTTAGGTAACCGGGAGGAGTGGAAAGTGTCAAAGCTGCAGGTAACTTCATTTGGTTGAACTTAATCTCCCTAAAGTATGACTTTATCTGCACCAATGCTCTTAATTCATAGCTTGCAATTCTGTTTTAAGGCACACAAGCAGGCATTTGAAAAGATGTGGCTCAGTTTTCTGAAGCACAAGGTGAGTGTTGGTTCCGTCACTGATCTGTACTGCCCTCTAACGTCTTGTCCTTAGAGGCTGTGGCTGTCCTTCCATGGAGCTCCTTGTAAGACCCTGCTGTGCTTTCAGGGTTAGACAAGAACAGATTTTTTCATTTTTGCTTACAGCCCAGTCGCCTTTTCAGTTGGATCATTTTTCTGCCCAGAAGCATGACCTCATATATGATTTATTTCTTCTCCTTACTCTCTGCCTTTTCTCCCACCTTGAACAAGTCTGCCCATAAGGAGTGATTTGCAGTATAAAGACCTCCGTTTACAAGTTTAAGGTTCCCGAGCTATTTCACTGCTTTCCTCCCACTTTCCCCCCTGAGCTGTGATCACACTTCTAATTGTGAGTGCCCACTTCTCTGATTTAACTTAATTGTCATTTGTCACTTGTAACGTCTTCCGTTTGGGAACTGTTGCTGTGGGCCACACTGTATTGTTCTGGCACATTCTCTTTCGCTTCTGTGTTGCCTATTGCAGGCATGTGTTGCTGTTGCTCTTTGAATTCTCCCTGCGTTCATTGTTTGACTTTTTTTTTTTTTTTAATCCTTCACAGCTACCGATTGGCCTTTACAAAAAAGTTCTTGTTATTCTGCATGACTCCATTCTGCCTTATATGAATGAACCCACTCTCATGATAGACTTCCTGACAGTGGCCTATGGTATGGGTGAGTAAAAGCAGGCTTTTCATCCTTTGTGCGGTCTGCAGCATGGTAGATATGACTGGAAGGACTGCTGGAGGCAACACCACAGCCTCTTTGGGGAGTGATTCAGGACAGAACCCCCCCCTGGACAAAGAAATGGCTATACCTTTGGCTAGAATTAAGCTAAGGAGCTAGGTACAGTGGTTGTCCCTGGAAGTGAGAAGTTTTCACCTGTGCTTGTCAGTGTCCTTACTCCTTGTATGCAAGGAAGATCATAGTCAAAGCTTTGGAAAGAGGTGAATAATGAAGTGATTTATTTTAAATGCAGATTTCAGCCAGCACTGGTGTTATCTGGGCTGCATCCAGACATGGAATGTGCAGTTTCCTACAGAAATGCCCTTTCTGAGGAGGATTTTTCCTCCCCAGTGTGGCTTTCTTGGGGATTAGAGCAGCGTTTTTGTGTCTCTGTCCTTCAGAGTCTATTCTTCTAAACTACAACTTAATCTTTGTAAGTAACTTCTGAGCCTCTGGAAGCTTTCAGATGAACTTGTGTTCCCTGACAGCTGTCACATTCGCGCTCCTTTCAGGTACTCTGTTTTGTGTCCTTTCTGTGAAGGTTTTGTAATAAAACGGGTTGCAGCTGATGGTTTTCTTTTTTTGTGTTAATATCTGCTTGCTTTCTTACAGGTGGAGCAATCAGTCTCCTAGCCTTAAATGGATTATTTATTTTGATTCATCAGCATAATCTGTAAGTAAAAAGAACCACATGTTTAAAGAAATGTGGGTTTCTGCATTTATGTTGAACTCGGATGTTGAACTCTTTTGATAGTATGACCATTTTTTCAGTTGAGCCTAAATGCCCTCTGTCCAAACTGTGGCTGCTTGGCACTTGAAAATCTGTTTTGCTGACCTGATCACACAGTGAAGCTGTAGTCTTCGGCATGCCTTTCACTGGATCCTGTACCAGTGCAGTCAGTGGCTATAGCTTCACATCTCCAAAATAGCTGAGCACCACTGCAAGAGCAGGAAATTAACCTTACAGCATGTTTTCAAATGATGGCTGTGGAGAGGGAGGAAAGAAAGCTAAACAGAGCCTGCAGAGCACAGCAGTGGTCTGGGGTCATTTATAACGAATTCCCAGAGACATTTAGGCACAGTGCGATCCCATTGTACCTCACTAATCAGCAACGGATGCTCATGCTGTCTTTTTCTTTTCTTTTCCTTTTTTTTTTTTTTTTTTAAACAGGGAATATCCAGACTTTTACAAAAAGCTGTATAGTCTTTTGGACCCTTCTATATATCACGTGAAGTATCGAGCCCGATTTTTCCATTTGGCTGATCTGTTTTTGTCTTCGTCGTAAGTAGCAGTTTTATTATGTACGTTCACATATTTTCCTCCTGCTTTTCTGTTGCCCAGAGACTGTTCTCAAACAGTCCCCCACATGTCTGAATGTAATGTGTTCAGTGTGCCTACTGGATTGGATTCTTGTTTACTGAGAAAACTGAATCCAAGAGTGTGATTGTAGTGGTGTGTAATTTCGCATGCGCTATTTCTGGAGATTTGCCGCATGCCCATCTAGTTTCAGAAAGTAAAAATGCAGTACTTTATCTGAGTTTGATCTGCAAATGGATATATTTTGATGTGTATTCCTTTTGGTTGAAAGTTACAATTTTTCCCTCTGGCTTTATGAATACGAAAAAACAAAATTTACAGGGTTGTTTTTTTTTAAATAGGCATGGGATCATAAAGCTGTTGATAGTTTGGTGACTTTTTGCAGAGATACAACATTGAAACATAGTGTTTGCCAGCCTGCCTCGATACTGTCAATTTTTTGTACACAAAAAAGAAACTAGATAAGCAACTGGTCATTCAAGGTTATACTTCAGTTGTCATCGTTTCACATGCTGTAAAATAAACCAAGAGTAGCACTTTACAGTTCAGACTGTGATATTAGACACTTAATATCAAACCTCTTTGTATTCATAGTACACTTTGGGGTGAGTATCAAGATATGCTAGTGAACTATTGGGTGCTATTGTTGAGCCTTGCAGGTCTAGTGAGCTCCAGGACTGAAGGCTGAGTGGCTGAAACTTGTCATCTTTCATCTCGGCTCCTCTGACCTGAAGGAAGTGCCTAGATCAGCTGATTTTTTTGTTAAAAATTTGCATTTTTACCATGGAAATAAGAACTATCCTGCACATGTACATTGCAGCAGCTTTATGTCCCTGTTGTCAGCTGTACTGCTTGCTTTAGTCCTGGAAGCATTACATAAATTTAACACCATGGTCCATGTATTAATTAAACCCACAAAAATGCATTAGAAAATATAATGAAAGCTGCCTGCCCAAGTGCTCAGCAGTTTATAAAATGACTAAATAAAGACTGCAATGTGAGTGACCATGTACAAGAGCTGTGCTCGGCTACAGCAAGTGCTTGGAGTGGTGCCACACCTCTGGGTTGAATCACGAGGTCGTTTAGATTATTCATGCATTGAGTGGAAATTGCTGCAAAATTTGTTCCAGGCAGCACACAAGACCACGTGTTACTGCCTGAAACCAGGTATCTTTGCTTTCTTCATTCCACAGTCCAAAAATATGAAGAGCCCTGTTGATCCTTAACCTGACGCGCTGTCTGGTTGATGGTGCTGCCAGCTCACTTGCTTGGACTTTAACGTGCTGATGTCTTCTCTTTTCCTTCCAAAAGTCACTTGCCAGCATACCTGGTAGCAGCATTTATAAAGCGCCTCTCCCGGCTGGCCCTCACTGCTCCTCCTGAAGCTCTGCTCATGGTCGTTCCTTTCATCTGTAATCTCTTTCGGAGGCACCCAGCGTGCAAAGTGTTAGTACACAGACCTGATGGGCCAGAAGGTAAGAGGGAATGCGAGCAAGGGATTTTTGTGTCCTGCCTTTAGATAGCATAAAGAGCAGGATTGATTCCTGTGGAGGAGAAGGTGAGATCCCTTCCTTCCTTCCTGAGAACCAGTTCTAAGGTTTAGAAGGACCCCTCTGTCCCTTGGCTTTGCAGAGAGCCTGTAGGCTGCTCCTTCAAGGCACACTGACTCAGACTACCGCCAAGTGTTAACGGGCTGAGACAGCTGAACCAGACGCTGCGCTTGTCTTGTTCACCTCAACGCTCTGTTGAGTAAAGAAATGAGAAAACAAACAATGCAGAAACCCAAGACTTTCTCATTTTCCACCTACAGCGTGTGTTAAGCCCATTGGCTTAACAGTCTTCTGAGTTGATTTCTTCATCTGTCCATGGTTTAACTGATTAGTGCTGAACATCAGTAATGACTGTTCAAAGTTGCCTGAGATGCCTTTTGTGTTAGATCATTCCAGTTCTTTGTGTCTTACTTCCTGTGCTCGTTAGCAGTAATATGATTCTGTAGTGTTTCTGTGACTCTTGGGCCTTGCTGAGGTGTGTAGCTTGTTGTTGGATCCTAAACGTGTTGGGAACGTTGTCTTACACAGCAGCGCTGCTCTGGTCTCTGCTGCATTCCCTTTGGAGTTACGTACATCATGCAGGAGATACTAGCTCTGCATCTTCCTCTCCTTAGATTTGTCAGAAGATCCATATATTATGGAGGAGGAGGAGCCATCTGAAAGCAGGGCTTTGGAAAGCTCCCTCTGGGAGCTACAGGTATGTAAGCTTAAAAAAAGCACATCTGTTCATGGTGTTACTTTGCAGCCTTCTCGGTGTTAGTGCAGGAGGCAAATGATTTCACGCACTCCAGAATTAGTACATACTAATTGGTATAGGCTATGTGAGCAAATGTCTGACCAGGGAGCTGAAAAATATGTAGTTAACAGGTGAAACACACAAAGCCACCGCAAATAAGGCTTTTGCATTGGAGGGGAGAGATGAATTTGCTGAGCCTTTATGGAAATTAATTGGGTGTAGCCAGGTCATTCTGTAGGAATGGCATTAAAAATGTTGAAGAACGTCATAACTTTCACCTTTCATCTGGATTATTTGTAGGATGGTGTGTGAAGGCTGGAATTGGTTAAATTATTCACAGTGACCTAAAACCATATGGCAGGATTATCGTTTCCCATTTAAATGCTACAAAGGTTTTATGTAAAGGACTGAGGCAGGAACAGGAGTGTTCGCTGAGACCTGGAAGCGGAGAGAGCAGGCGCTCAGATGCAGCGTAAAGGCCGTGGGAGGTGGCAGAACAGTGTCGTGCATCATAGGCATGGTCTGTGGAAGAATTTTGTCTGTATTGATCTGGATGTGTCCCAGGTGGAAGGGATCTTTGACATGCTTGAAGGGTGGCTGAAATCTGGATTCCTGGAAGCTTTGTAGTAGTGCAAAACAGTAAACTTGCCTCCTCTGCCAGAATGTGATGGTCACTGACTATCTGACTAATGAAGAGGCAGTTACTTGCGGGGGAAGTCGAATGGATGTGTGTTAATCCTTTACTCATTAGAGCATCTCCTGTTTGTCTTGCTTTTGCAGTCTCTACAAAACCATTATCACCCAGATGTGGCCCAAGCAGCTGCTATCCTGAACCAGTCGCTGTCAGAAATAGAGGATGACATATCAGGGCTCTTGGAGCTCTCTGCTTATGAGGTAGCATTGCTGTGCTTGTGTGAATGAGTGGAATAAGAGGAAAAGAGATTGGTTCCTGGGTGTCATAGCCACGTTCATCAGCCTTGCTGCTGGGGAGGGAACTCGGCTGACTTTTGGTTACGCAGAGGCAGGGGAATGTCTGTTAATGAAGGAGCAGAAGGCAGCAACAGTGAAAGGGTTGACTTGTTGATTTTTTTTTTTTTTTTTTTTTTTAAACATAAAAGGGCTGAAAGGCCTGATTTATACCTGGATCTTTTTAGAGGTTAGAGTGAGAACTGATGTCAGCCAGGATGAAGAACTTCTACTGAGTTTTGCCAATATCTTCTTTTTTTTTTCTTTCTTTGTAGCTTTTTGATAGAGAAGTAAAGAAAACAACCACTGATGTACCCCTGGAGTTTGAGCCAGTGAGAGGTTTGTTTGGGAAGAAGAATGATATCTTTGCGGAGCACTTTACCTTAGAGTGATGTGATCGCTAATAAACACGTTTGCACAACTGATTGACCCTGGGGACATGCACAAAGCACGCCTGCTGTACTGAGTGGTTTCTGGCTTTGAAATATCTCCAAGTGGTGAGAGCTGGACCGCTTGAGAAATTGTGCCTTCTTTAGAGACCTGTGCCAGCACCCACAGATGGACTTTTCCTTTTGTTCTTGTTTCTCGCTCTAGCAGATTGCTGCCTGATGCTTGGGAGGGACTTTCCCTCTGAGCAGAGTTTTCTGGAAATGTTCATGTCTGGGATTCCAGCACTTTTCTCTGAGGTGGCTGGTGCTGGCTGTGAGGACAGACCATCCTGCTGCCCTCATAAGGGACTGAGGGAAGGTGTGGCCTCTGGCTACTGCTCTTGTTTTCTAGCTGTGTTAGTTTTGCACTAGAGCTGGCAACCTGCTTGTAGCAAGTGATCTCAGTGTGTAGCTATAAACACCTGGTGATATTCTAGTTATAAATATTTTATACATACTTTTAAACTCACCTCTTGAGAGAGATGTTTAACTTCCGTGTACTGGTCTTAATACTCCCGTGTTCCAGGCGCTGCATGCTTAGGTAGGTCAAAAACAACTCACAGATTATGCTCAATAATTCCATCTATGATGTGTCGCCTATGTTCCTTCACATGCATCTGTCTCATTCTGTAAAGTTGCCTAATTTGGAAATGTTCATGAGCTTTGGAAACGAGCATAATCTTGGTGATTGCTATAAGGATCTACCTGCTCAACTGGAGTGCAGTGGGAGGTAGGTCTAATCCTTGATTTTTGCTTTGGAACGATAAGCAGCTTAATGTAGTTTTGCTTGCAGCTTGCAAGCGTTGTACGAACTGTGCCCAAGTATACCCAGGTGCCAATCAAGTTTTAACTAGCTTCCACTAATACTAGGTGGCTTTATTAATTTGTTTTTTCCCTGTATTTCCAAAAGTGATGCAGAAATTCCTTCTGATTGTGTTTCCCGAGATGTTCAGTGTTCTGTCTTGGTTCTGGATGCACTCCTTGTTAAGAATGCAGGTAGACTCACTGAGCACTTGTTTCCTCTTATCATTTTTAATAGTTTATTCTTTTCTCTCTAGACTTTAACTCCATTTACAATATTATGAAATCATAATTTGTAAAGGAGAAAAATACAGTCAAGAAAGTGAAGCCAAAGCAAACTATTTTCTGGCAGATGAGGCTGCTTAAGTCAAGGAAAACTGCAGCTGTTGTAAAGACACTAAGTGTTAAATTTTCTTCATCCCTTGTTTTCAGGCTATCCAAACAATAAATAGGTAAAGGACCATGTATTTGCAATGAAATCGTTTTCTCATCAGGTCTTGGACATGCCTCCAGAGTACAGAGCTGTATCCTCTGTTTTTTCTCTGATACTTTTGAATTCAACTGGGGGGGTTTCGGGATCCGTAGCCACTTTTTTGAAAATTCCACTCTCTGTTGTTCTGCTTTGTGAAAAAGCAGGACTGTCCCCTCCCTGGCCAGCCTGCTTTTCTTTATCCTTTGACTTATGGTGTCTGGTAGGAAGGTAGAGTGGTTGAGATCCTAGCTTGCAACTTGAGAGACCTCAGTTCAAGGTCACCCAAAGCTTTGTGTTTCAGCTCTAAAATGCATTTCCCTCTATCGTATCTATGTTGTGTGTATGTGTTTATTAAACGTTTTGAAGTGCTCTAATAGTAATGAGGACCACCTAAGTACCTTTGGAAGATGTATATACTTGTACCATCTTTCAGATTGAATAATATACCTTGGAAATATATATATTGAATACATTTCTCTGCGTCTTTTTATTTAACTCAGGTTGGCTCAATTATGTCTGAAGTTACTGATGGGTAATGTCATTCAAATCTTTCATAATACTGACGCTCTGGAGTATGGTGACTCTTTTATATTGCACAAAAATTAAACTGCTTGGACATTGGCCAGTCAAGTTCTCATGGTGCTGAAAATGAGAGGGGTTGGTTAGGCTCTTTTATCTGGAGAAGGGTGAGCAATGTCTTTCAGATGATGTGGCATCCTGATGGCTGCGTAAGCTACGTGTGTGTGTCTGTCATCTGGGGCTTTCCTAGGCCAAACAAACAGGCTCTGCGTGAGGCAGACTGAGTTGCTGGGGACTGGGGGAGAGCAGCAGGTTCTGGTTTGTGCTATGTCCTGCTGCTGCCTGTGGGCAGAGCCTTGTATCTCAGACCAAATGACCACAGACTATAATATTTTCCATGCACTTGGAACAGCGATGCTGCTGGAAATAAGTGGGTGTTGCTTCCAAACAGGACAAAGACTAGGAAGCTACCCTCATCTTTAACGTTTCAGCAACCGCAGATCCTAACCACTGCATTGCATTTAACAGTGACTTGGCTGGAGTAGCAAGGGAATTTTTTATTTTTGTTTTTAAAGGTGTGTTCACAGTGCCCTGTGTGTTAGCCTGCTGCAGCTCCCACAGATGTTGAGAGGGAGGGCTAGGCTAACACTGCATGACTTCAGATCTCTCCACGTATTTAGGTGCCGAGTTAGAAATCACGTTAGTGCCTGACTTAAAGTATATGTAACTGTCCTGGTGTGACTCAGTAATTGTGGTGATGCCAAGCAGGCTCAGCCACAGCCCCACTGTGTGTGGGGCTGTACAGGCAGAACCCATCGAGCCTTCTTGTTCGGAGGAACACAGCTTAACGCCTGGATGCTCTTTAGACAAACCTTGAAGGTCTTCTAGAGACTGCAGCCCCAATCTCTGGTGCTTTGCTTGTCTAAAAAGCCTTCTTAAACCAGCCCTTTGGTGGAGATAATTTAAAGACCCTGCCTGTCCTTGGGAAAACATTCCACCTAGTTTTTCATCAAGCTTTTATCTTTAAACTTTCACTGCCCCCCCCCCAATAGGAAGTATCAGAAAAAAATCAGCAGTTATAAATATTAAGTTTCATCTGCACTGAGCGAACAACGCTTATCAGGCTGCACACCCGCTGCTGCTACTGCTCCACAGGTCTCCACAGACTGCAGATTATAGATGCTTTAATCATAGTGTGTATTAACTGGAAGGCCAGACTGAAGTACCAGGCAGAGAGTGCATAAGTCACTCCTGTTATTATTTGATTTTTATCAGATGTGGGAAGAGGGGGGAGAGTTGTTTTGTTTTTTGTTGTTGGGTTATTTCATTGAGCACAAAAGACAGTTTTATAAAAACACTGTCTCAGTCCCCCCTCTACCCCTTACTACCTCATTCCCCTGTCCGAGGATGGTGATAAGACCTCTCTGTGTTGCAGTAGACTACCCTTGGTTTATTTTCTTGCGCTTCCATTCATTTACAGGCCATTCAAAGTCGTCCCAGCCTGAAGGTAAAAGATGGAGCTGCTCATTGGAGTGTAATGAGATTTACCTTGTGAGTTAAAGATCCAGGTGACCATGGTGTGTGTGTGTGTTAATCAGCTTAAATTTTTACTTTATTCATTGGGCAGTAGAGGGAGGTGTATGTTTAAATCCAGAAATAGAGGGAAAAGTGCAAGTGCCGGCTGGAGGCTGGGGCAGGCTTACTCCGAGGAAAGGGATCCCTGCTCTAGGGCAGAGTCAGTGTTAGTGCTTGTCCTCTTCCAGCATGTCTGGGCGTAAGTACGCTTGATTGCAAGCTCCAGATGGTCCTCCAAGAAACTAGACTTGTGCGTGCAAAAAAAAACTCACATTCACGGCATACGTTCGGGCATCTCAGCTGAGCTAGGAATTGTCCAACAGGCATCCCCTGCCTCTCTTCATAACCACCTGGGGGTCTAGCTCTGCTCCTCTGAATTGCATCTGTGCTGAGGCCTAGAGGCTGTCCAGTGTGCAGGAGGTGGACAGTGAGAACTGGTGAATCCTGTCTGAGCTCCAAAAGGGCCCCAACCACAGGCTCCAAGTGCTCAAAAATAAACCAGTAAGAAATGCTTGGCCTTTTTAATCAGTTGCTATTAGCATTAAGACTGTTTTCCAGCACTAGGGTAGTGAAAGCTGCAGTGAAGCCGTAACCACTGTGTTTTCCACTGCCTAGTTTTGAAAAGCAAATGCGATCTTGGGTAATTTAAACCCTGCCCAAAGAAGGACCACAGGATATCAGTTCAACCGACACCAGCCTTTTCCAGCACTATCATAGTCAGTATTCATTAACTGAAGCCCAATGGTCTGGGAGATTTACTGGTATTAATGAGCCAAGAGTCTATCTTAGTGTAGTTTATGAAGGAAATTTTAGGTCTGTTAATAAAAGGCATTGCTTTTCTGCAGAGGTTCTCAGCCCTGTTTGTGAGCTGTGCCAGCATCAGTGAAAGGAGAGAGAACTGGAGCCCTGGGCAGAGCCAAAAGGGAGAAACTGCAGATGGAAACTTCTGTTCAGAGCTGGTTAAAGGCACCTCCAGCTGCACTAGTTTACGGCCAGCTTCAGAGGTAACTGCCTTGCTTTCCTGTAATTTTCTACACAAGTATCCCACATGCACAGGAGAGTAGTAAAGATTGAGCTGTTTGGGAACATCAGCTACTTAGAAGCAAGGCTGAGGTCTCTGGCCACCTTGCTTGGGTTTCTGGAGTGCTATCGGTCAGGCATAAGCACACTGCTGGGGCCCGGGGAACAAGTGCGATTACTCATTCTCTGTTTTATAGCTGGAGGGTGCCTGCCAAAGATGAGCACTAGCTCTTTGTGGGCTGTAGTGCCAGCCTTCCTCCCAGCCTAAGAAATAAACCCGGCAACCAGGATGCTCTTGTGGATGATGCGCACGCAGAAGCTGTGAGCGTCAACTGCATCCTGAGTTAAAAGCTGAAGGCTTCTTGGCCTGCTGGCATCCCCATTTTGTTGATAAACGAACAGAGCAAACCTTATCAAAATGAACAGACTGCAGTCCTGCTAATGTAGCTCCGCTCATGCTAAAGATAATTGATGCTTTAATAACACTACACGTTATCCAGGATAGCGTGCTGGAGTGCTTATGTGAGGAGAAGCATCAATCTCGGGTAGTTGCATTTGACTTTTATCAAATATTTAGGTGGGTGGTGGCAAGGTGGATTCTTGTGCTGCGATTGGGAAAAAGCAGCTCTGAGCTAGCAACGAATGAGTCGCCACACGTCTTTTGCCCAAATCAGTTCTTTTGGGATGGGAGAGTGAGTCCTCTCAGCTGGAGATAGGCAACACCACGTGCTGTGATACTGGAAACAGAGGCATGATGATGAGCAACTGCAGTTCCCAAGTGGAAGGTCTTTGGTCCCCTCTTCTGGATGGGGCAAAGGTCTCTTTGCCAGTGCGTGACGCTTCCAAGCTAAGGTCCACCTGAGACCTGGGCGATGGCCCTTACCACGAGCGAGTGCTGAGGGAGGCCTCAGGCACCACGCTGGTGACACAGGTGAAGTTTGCTGCTGAGTTACATGGGCAGATTCACTGGGGGAGGCCGGGGCGAGGGGCTTCCCCGGACACTCTAACCACATGTCCAGATCAGGAGACAAGGAGAAGCCCCCCCTCCTTCCCCCGCAGTGCTCAGCCCTGAGGGGACGATGCTATTGCAGGAACCTTCCCAAACAGGGGTACAGGCGGAAAGCGAAACCCCGCTGCCGTGCGAGCCCTGGGAGCTGTGGGCGGACGGCCGCGGGGACAGATGTCTGCACGGGGCTTGTTACCGCTGGCCGCTTGCACAGCGTGTGCCACGGGGCTCTAACGGGGAGCTTAGCGGAGCAGCTCCAATTAACTCTGTTTGGCTGGATCTGTGGGCTGGCCTGCAGCGAAGGTGTGTGATGTGTGCCTGAAAGGTGTCCGACCACTCAAAAGCCGAATGCGCTCCATGGGATTGCTCCGAGCCTCAGCGAAGCCAAGGGGAGCTGGAACGGATCCACTGACAAATCCTCTGCTTTGCAGCCTGTGCCAGTGCTTGGCCTCCTGTGCTCAGTACATCATGTCTAAAGCGATAGTGTGTAGCTCCTTCCAGAAATACAGCCCTCTCCTGTGAAGCTTTTTGTTGTTAAGAGGACTTCCAAAGCATCCTGCCTGGCTAAAATGCCTCCTCTGGGCCATTTTTGGCTGAGGGCTCAGTTTCTCAAAGGTAATTAGTGAATGAGCTCCTGTTATCTTCGAGGAGCTGGATATGAGTGCTGAAGGGAACTTTCATTTCCTTTCAGCTTATCAGGAGATTTATGGCCTGATTTACGTAAAACTTCTTCCTTATTTCATATTCAGCAGCAGAGACTGTTTTCCCAGCAAAATTCCTCTCCATGCTCCGTGCCAGAGTGGGAGGCTGGACCCCCAGCTCCATCTCATGAGGGAGCTTGCTGTTTTTGGCAGTTTATGCCTGGGGTCTTTGGGCCTCACGGTCTGAATCGCTGGTGTAACCTGAAGCGAGCCAGAAGCATTGGGGACCAGTATGAAGTTCCTGGAGGGCAGCGTGCCTCCTCTGGAGCCTGCTGGGTTGTGTCCATCACATTGCAACGCCCAGAGCGTTCCCGTCGGGCAGCCTTTCCCGTCTGGCTGCCCCTGAAACCTGAGCACCCCTTTCCTGCTTCGTGCAGGGCGGGCTGCCTTCTGGGAGGGGAATGGCACTTGGCTTTTGAAAGGATGAGAGAAATAGCGGTAACTGCCCTCTCCCAACTCCGCTTTCGGGGCGAAGGATGAAACCAGAGCCTGGCTGATGGCTAGCACAAGTTGCTGTAGCAGTCGCTGATGCAGTGATGGGCCTGCGCCCATCTCAAGCGGGGCGAGGAGGAGGCAAGGGGGGTCCTGGTGCAGGGAGGGTGCGGTACGATGGGGAAGGCAAGGGTGGAGCGGCACTGGGCTGAAACTGAG